CAACATATGTGCACAAACATACAACAGAAATGAGTGTCTAGATCCACTAAAAGAATATACAAAAATATTCATACTGGTAAAAAAAAAAATGAAAACCCAAACGCTTATCTACAATAGAATACAATTTATGATATATTCGTAAAAAAGTATTATACAACAATGAAAAAGAGCTACAGCTACACAATGTGGACAATACCACAGACCTAATCTTCAGTAAAAGAAATCAGACAAAAAAAGAGTATATATCTAAATGAGGTTCAAGAATAGGTAAAATTAAAATTAATCAATGGAGATAGAAGTCAAAAAGCTATTTATATTTGGAATTGAGTGAAACTGACTGAGAGGAGGCACAAGGTGCTAAAAATGTACTTACAGTATCTTAATCTGCAGGGTAACTACCTGGATATATGAATATATATACAAAAATTCATCAAGCTTTATGCTAAAATTTGTGCCCTTTTAGTATAAAGCTATATATTAACTTAAGAATTAAAAAAAAAATTGTTTTTAAGACTTTATTTATTCATGAGAGACACTGAATGAGAGGCAGAGATACAGGCAGAGGGAGGAAAACCAGGTCCCATGCAAGGAGCCTAATGTGGGATTTGATCCTGGGAATCGGGATCAGGCCCTGAGCCAAAGGCAGATGCCCAACCGCTGAGCCACCCAAGCGTCCCTTAAAAATTAAATTTAAAAATTCTGTTTAAGAAAAAAAATGAAAATAATCAAAACTTTTTTTAAAACCTGTCAAACTAAAAACTAAAAAAATGTTCAAATTTAAAATTATTTCACTTATTCTAGTAATTTACAAAATTTCACAGATGAAGAAAAAATATTAACAAAACTTCAAAGATCACCAAATTTGAAAATATTCCAACTAAACACTAAGTCATATATTTTTAAAACTGTCTGTTCAATCATTCAATACTGGATGTTAATACATAACACATAAACTGCTAAGAATTGAGCTTACAGGGGTGAATAAAGTTCCTACCTTCACAGAGCTTACAAATTTAGAGCCAGAGTAGGGACTGAGGCAAGGCCTCACTGAGAAATCAAATTTTAGGCAGAGAAATGATTAATGGAGTAAGCCATGAGGAAATCTCCAGGAAGAACACTGCAGGTAGAAAAACAAGAAGAGGGAGAGCTCTGAAGTAGGACTGGCCTGATCAGAGAACAGCAAAAATATTGGTGTAGCCAGAGCTGAATAAGCCAAAAGTGGAAAAGTATAGGAAACAGGTTACAGAGGGGGTGAGGGCAAATCTTGTAGGGTTTCCTAGATATTGTAAGGACTTTGGCCTTGCTCTGAAATTGTAAAAGAAGATTCTCACTGCTTTGTTAAAAATATCGGGGTGGTGACCAAGGATCAGGTCGGAGAGGTGAATTAGGAGGTAACTATAATAATCTGAGCAAACACTTGACTACAGAGTATGACAATTTAGATTTCTATGTGTTGAATTCATGAGACTGCAAGTGCTGATACTTTCATGTGTTCAGACACTGGCAAAAATCACTGAATGGATAAATCAAGAAAGCTAGAATATTGCTCCTTTGTCTTTATTAAGCAAAGTAAAATAAAACATGGTAAGATACAAAATTTTCATGAGTTAAAATGACTTCCATCATCCACCCTGCTGTTTACTGGAATTTCAAGACTTTTTTTTTTTTTTTTTTTAAGATTTTATTTATTTACTCATGAGAGACACAGCCAGAGGGAGAAGCAAGCTCCATGCAGGGAGCCTGATGGGGGACTCAATCATGGGGCCTCAGGATCACGCCCTGGGCTGAAGGCAGACGTTCAGCTGCTGAGCCACCCAGGCACTCCTTCAAGACTAATACTTAAAGAGAAGTCCTTATCCGCTGGAGTCAAGACTTCAAATTCAAACTTAACAAGCAACAGCAAACATAATGTGTATACCATATGCGATTTAAAAAGTAAAACAAAAAAATCCTTTCCTTTAAGTATCCCTACTAGCTAGTATCAGATGAATCAGCCTTATTGCGTACAGAGGCATTTTCTACATTATTTTAACTATTTTCACATATTTTTAATCATGATGAAGAGAAGACTTTGTGGATCAAATCACTTTGTCTTCATTTCATCTAAATTGTCTAACTGGAAAAATATCTCCCCAATGTAAAATTTTTAAAGGAAAATGTAAAAAGAAACCAAAAGAAAACCAAAATGTTGTTGGATGAAACATTATTAAAAAGAGAGATGTAGGGCAGCCCGGGTGGCTCAGCAGTTTAGCGCCACCTTCAGTCCAGGGCCTGATCCTGGACACCTGGGATCAAGTCCCACATCAGGCTCCCTGCATGGAACCTGCTTCTCCCTCTGCCTATGTCTCTGCCATGCTCTCTCTTTCTCTCTCATTAATAAATAAATAAAATCTTTTTTTAAAAAAAGAGATGTAGGGATCCCTGGGTGGCGCAGCGGTTTGGCGCCTGCCTTTGGCCCAGGGCGCGATCCTGGAGACCCGGGATCGAATCCCACGTCGGGCTCCCAGTGCATGAAGCCTGCTTCTCTCTCTGCCTGTGTCTCTGCCTCTCTCTTTCTCTCTCTCTCTGTGTGACTATCATAAATAAATAAATTAAAAAAATTAAAAAAAAAAAAGAGATGTAGTAAAGGAAAGCTAATCCACCTATTAAGAACTAGTTAACCTATGAAATAGCAACAGTATAGAGACAGCCTAACTTGACCAAATACGCACGAAAGCAGACTGCTTAGATTTGTGTCCTAGTTCTGTCACTCTAACTATATTATCTCAGGGAAATGGCCATCTTCGTACCTCAATTTCCACATTCGTAAAACGGGAGTAATACTACTACTTACTGCATAAACTTTTTTTTTTTTTTAGGTTTTATTTATTTATTCATGAGAGACCCAGAGAGGCAGAGACACAGGCAGAGGGAGAAGCAAGCTCCATGCAGGGAGCCTGATGTGGGACTCGATCCCAGGAATCTGGGACCAGGCCCTGAGCCAAAGGCAGACGCTCAACTGCTGAGCTACCCAGGCATTCCTTACCCTCATAAACTTACTGTAAGAATTAAATAAGTTAATGCATCTAAACTGCTTGGAATAGTACATGGAAGATGCTAATGATATACTAATGCAAGCCTGGTATTACATTATATGTCAAAACTACAAAGAGGACTCTGAAAATTCCCCCACCAGTAGTAATTATCAAGAACACTACTGGCAAGTACACGACCATTAAGATCTAATATATTTTAGACTAAATATTCTTCAATTTAGGAATCTACACTGTGGGGTTTCTTGAACATTTCTACATACAGAGTTTATTTATCTTGAATTTAAATACCTAAATTAAGAAGTTTAAAGTTCCTCTTCTTGCTTAGGGTTAAAATATCCAACAGTGATCACCAAATAAATAAGCAATGTAGTGTCAAATTTTTAGAATACATTTTTTAAAGTAATTTGAAATTTCAAGCTCTATGAAGGAAACCAAAAAAAAATTCCTAAAACCAAGAAAAACTTTTAAAAAAACAAAATAGTCACTACAGAATTATTTCTTTTTTTTATAATTTTTTTAAAGATTTATTTATTTATTCAGAGAGAGAGAAAGGCACAGACACAGGCAGAGGGAGAAGCAGGCTCCATGCAGGAAGCCTGATGTGGGACTCGATCCCGGGTCTCAGGGATCACACCCCAGGCTGCAGGAGGCGCCAAACCACTGCACCACCGGGGGTGCCCTGTACAGAATTATTTCTTAGGGATATAATTACTAAACTCCATGTTGCAGTTTGATATGTATGAATTTCTGCCCAGTATTTCCGGACTGTCCTTCTACCTTGTACATCAGGATAATCCCTACCAATCTTTCAAATCTACCTCCAGCCTTAATAAAGCCTGCTCCTGCCAAAACTGTTCACTCCTTCTCTGTGTATGTGCTATGTATTACTACTGCATTAATCCTCCAACAATTTCTTCAATTAACAGTTTAGAGGAGTGCTGTGTAACAAAAATGTAAGTCACATAAGTAATTTAGAACTTTTCAGGAGCCACTTTAAAAAGTAATTAACAGGTGAAACTAACGCATTTTATTTAATTCAATATGACCAAAATATTATCATTGCAAAATGTAATCAATATAAAAATTAGTAATAAGATCCTTTATATTCTATATATTAAATTGTCAAAATCTGGGATGTATTTTATACTTGCATCACATTTCCATTTGGACTATCCACATTTTAAGAGCTCAAGAGGCACACTTAGCTACCAAACAGTAAGTACAGACCTGGAGCCTAGAGCATTCTGTCATATGCAGTGTGGTCTATGGGTCAGCAGCAGCAGCAGCATCTATGATTTTTCAGAAATGCAGAATCTCAGCCCATCTCAGACCTACTAAAACTGAACTAAATTTAACAAGCTCCCAAAGGTGATCTGAACGCACACTGAAGACTGAGAAGTTCTAAACTAGACTATACATAACTTGGGAGCCTTAATGAATTACAATTACCATTCATCTATCATATGGTATTATCACTGAAAATATGGAACCCTGTATTTAAGTAACAATGGATTTTCTACAAATCATGTTTTCTCTATGTTGTCCATCAGAACATTCTGCAACAGTGGAAATACATCTAGACACATATGTCTACTGAGCACCTAAAATGTGACTGGTGTAACTGAGATACTAAATTTTAAATTTTATTTACTTTTATCTTATTCAAACTTAATAGCTAAATACAGCCAGTGCTACCATGTTAAACAGCATAACTCTAGGTTACTACATCACAGTATAATCTCTAGGAGGTTCCTAGGGACAAATTTAGAAGGTTCTAATCAAGATAATTCCTCTAACTACCTGTGCTCGCTCTCTTTTTAATCACCAATCAGGTTTGCCACTTTACATTGGCTGAGGCTAAATATAAAAGCTATCTCTAGGGAAGCATAATAAAAGGTATAGCATGTGTTTTTTGTGTTAACATTACTTCAGTTTATTATCAATTAACAATACTAACGTACATACCTGTACAGTCTTTTTTATTCTATGCGATGGACCTGGATACTCTGGAGAATACAAATCTGTGAGGAATAATGAGTTGATTAATGTTGACTTCCCCAGTCCAGATTCACCTAAAAGAAACGAGGGGATGGAGGGAAATGCGTTAAACTCAGCCATTTTATCAACCTCAAATATTCGACCAATACTACAATCAAACTTGCCTTATACAAGTAATTCCTGGTGGAACAAAGAAGTGACATTAGAACATATTGTAAAGATTCTGTATTAGAATAAGTTCTTTTTTCTCTTTCTTATCAAATTAGACTCATGCTTCCAAGGAATCATTTTAGCTTTGTAATTCTACGATCTGTGCTCTTTAACAGTAATGTATCTAATACAATAGTGTCCATTTTTAACAGTAATATATTCCTAAAGACCAAAGTTAGTTATGAAAGAAACACTCAAGTTGGATTATATATTACTGCCTCAGTGAAATAAAGCACAAAAGATGTTAGGTATAAGCATTTATTACAGTCAATAATTAATGAATGACCAAAAGAAATCATGCAACTATAAAAAGTAGCAATCTGCTGATAAAAAAGAAAAATTAATCACAATGCATCTCAGTATAAAAGTGAACCACAATTTACTCATCTATGTATCAATCAGCTTAAGTATAAAGGGTATCTTTCCATAAACCAAATTCCAAAAAAATCATAGGTAATTACTTTTTATAGTGCTTCTGATTGAGGTAAGAGGTAGGAATGAAAGAAGGTAGAACACAATTTCTACTTAGAGTCACATACTCTTTGACCTACCATGTCTAGTTTAGTACAACATATCAAATATGCAAGTCAAGTTTTATAAATAGCTTAAAGATATACGTCATACAGGCTAAATAAGTTAAAAATCATACTGTAATTACCAATTAATACAGTGCAGAATTAAAGAATCTAGTTATTGTTAACAGTTCAGTTAGTTTAATAGGCACCTTAAGCCTAAATAACTGATGTCACAAATAGTAATAATACTATTTCTGTCTAGGTTGAGTTCTTTCTTTTTATATTGGCTCTCAAGAAAGTTAAGATCCATACAAGGTTGTCACATTTTACCCCTCTGAATGAGGGGATGTCACTTTTTTCTAGATGTAAAAACTCCAGAAATTTCTAAGATAAATAAATTATAGGTTCATCATACTTGCTTTTTACTTAAATCTTACTGAATAAAGGAGTAAAGACTAGAATAAAACCCAAGTCTCTGGGGAATAATAAGAAATGTCTAGGTCTTGCAGATGCTGCTACCCCAGAACCACCCACACTAGCCATGGTCAATCCCACTGTGTTCTCAACATTGCTGTGGACAGTGAGCCTTTGGGATGCATCTCCTTCAGGCTGTTTACAGACAAAGTTCCAAAGATGGCAGAAAACTTTCATGGTCTGAGCAGTATGGAGAAAGGATAAAGGTCGCTGCTTTTATAGGATTATGTCAAGATTCATGTGCCAGGGTGATGACTTCACACGCCATATGGCACTGGCAGGAAGTCCATCTATGGGGAGAAATCTGATGATGAGAATTTCATCCTGAAGCACATGGCTCCTGGCATCTCATCCATGGCAAATACTGGACCCAACACAAACGCTTCCCAGTTTTTCAAATGCACTGCCAACAATGAGTGGTTGGATGGGAAGCATGTGGTCTTTGGCAAGGAAAAAGAGGCATGAATACTGTGTAAACCATGGAGCACTCTGGTTCCAGGAATGGCAAGACTAGCAAGAAGATCACCATTGCTGACTATGGACAAATCTAGTAAATCTGACTTGTGTTTTATAAGACAGAAAGACAGACAAAGACTGACAAAGACAGGGAAGAAAGAAAGAAAAGAAAGAAAGAAAAGAAAAAGAAAGAGAAAAAAGTATCTACAATATTTTCATTTAGAAACATAAATGAAAAATTTGAGTACTTGTAAAAATATTTTGGAATGTCAAATGTAAAAGTACACTATATTCAAAAATTAACATTGTAGTGACTAAAAGTATGTTTAGATCTTTGTTTCTTTTGGTGGTACAGGGTAGAAGAACAAGAAAAAGTAGGACAAAATGAAAGGCATGATGTAGGGGGGAAAAAGTTTGAAAGGTAACACATCAAAATGTTAATAGCAGTTACTACAAAGTAGAATTGTAGGTAAGATAAATTTTTGGGGAGGCAGCCCAGGTGGCTCAACGGTTTAGCGCTGCCTTCAGCGCAGGGCCTGATCCTGGAGACCCAGGACTGAGGCCCACATCAGGTTCCCTGCATGGAGCCTGCTTCTCCCTCTGCCTGTGTCTCTGCTCCTCTCTTTCTCTCTTTATGTGTCTCTCATGAATAAATAAATATTAAAAAAAAGATTTTTTTTTCTTAGCTTTCTACATTTCTGCATGCTCTAAATTTCCTTCACTAACTGTATTTTTATAATTAAAAAAGCACTCGAGTGTCAACTTCGCAAAATGACAGACTAAGAAGTTCCAAGCTTTCACAGAAAAATCAAAATCAACTAGAAACTGGCTGAATTAACCTTATAGGAGCTCTGGGAAAAGTCAAAGATTTACAACAACCAAATAAATGCCTAGTCAAGAAAATGTCATGAACAACAAAGTTTAGGTCATTTTCATTTGTTCTTGCCCTATTCTCTATATGGTAGGCCTGGGACTGAAGGAGAGAGCAGCCCAGTCCAGTTCCACATTTTCCCCTCAAACCAAATGGAATAGGGCTGACTTAAAACATTCTAACCTCTCTAGGGTCTGCCAGAAGGAACTGATCTGTCTTGTCTAACTGGAATTTTAAGTAGAAGCAGCACTGGACACTAATGGTGGAAGCTAAGAGGGACTATAAACCCATAGATGCCTGGCACAGAAAAGCAGGGGGGAATAGATACAATAGACACCTAAGGCCCTAAGAAGAAGCTAGAGTGAGATCCCTTGGAGAATTAAGACATTCAAAAGTAGCCATGAACACAGAGAGAACTAAGAAATTCATACAGGCCCAGGCCAAACTTTCACTGCAGGCTGATCTATAGGCTCAGGAACATGCTCAGCCAATCATCAGATAACTGCCCTGATATCTTGGCAGTCTGCAAAGATGGGGAAAGGTGACTGTTGTTCCAAATGCACATTTTTCAACAACAACAACAGGAACAAAAATCACAAGGCATGCAAATAAACAGAAAAACAAAGTCGATAGAAAGGAACAAAACAAATTCCTGGAGAACAGGAACATCCCAATTTCCCCCCATTCAGTTTACATTATTTTTCCTTAGGTACTCTTTGTCATCAAAACTGCCAAACAACCTTTTGAGATAGTTATTTACCACTGAGGAAAAAGACCTCAGGGATGTTAAGTGACTTGCCAAAGATAATGTAGCATTTTAGTGTTATAACTCAGACTAAAGTCCACCCAATCTTCTTTCTTCCAAATTCAAGAATTCCGACTCCCAAGTAATAATGCTGGCCTAAGTATTTGGGAAATAAATTTACAAACAGACATTCACAAAAAACTGGTATTAAATTCTATCAAGCATTTCTATCTACCAATTAAGGTTCAGAGAGTTCCCTATAGTTTAAATTAGGATAAACGTTAAAAATCTTTAGAAATGCACAAGTTAAAACATCTTATCTTTTCCACTTAATGGATGTGCAACCTTTACCATTATATGCAATCTCTTGGCTCAGTATGCTTATCACCAAAATGAAGAAAACACTACTTACTGAGAAGTGAACAATAAAGAAATAAAATTAACATCTAGTATACATTCTTTTCATATGGTAATACCCAGGTTTTAAATTCAGAAAACTTCCTTTCCAATTAGTCCAAATCAAGGTTTTACTACTTACCCCTCTTCCTCACAAACATGATTTGTCAAGAAAACTAATTTCCTCAAAAAATGGCTATCTTTAAAATATGATCACTCACCAAAAAAATCAAATTTCAAACTGTTTTATAAATGCCAACTAAAGCCAGCTTTTAAGTTTCCATACTTGTTAGCATTTCTATTTTAGGGTCTTTACTTCCCACCTTGATTTTTATGATCATAATTACTTTGGAAAGAAATCTGATCAATTTCTTCACCTAAGTTTTAAAGGAGGTGGGTGTAAATTTCATATTTGGGAATTATATTGTCATAGCTGATTTAATACCTATGTTTTTTTCCTCCATCATAAAAAAATTGAATAATATAGTAATTATACGTACATATGTTTATAGACTTGCCTTCAACCCTTAAACAAACGCTCACAGAAAGTTATTTTACAGTTGGTAAATAAAATATGTAATGAAAATACATAATAAAGAAGTATATATATGACTAGAGAACTTAGGCTCATGATTTTCCTATTAAAGAACAAGACTATTTGCTTTTTGTTTTTGAGCAATTCTTGTTTTGGGAACAATGATCAAGACTGCTCCCTTAACTCTAAATACCATGTATCTTATGATATTCTAAAACTTCAAAATACTGTCTGCTTTTTTTATACTCACTAAAAAATCAGAAAACACCTATGTATACTTTCACTTATGATTTTTTTCCTCTAGTAAACTTTTTCTCTATCTTCACTGAAACTCCTGCTATTTATTATATGAAGTAGTAGCTTGTATACTCTGAACTAAAAGTTAGCTTTGGTCAATTTTTGACATGTTGGGCAGGAGGTATCTAAATATCCTAAGTATATCTAATATATTAATATATCTAATAATATCTAAACATAACTTTCATCCATTCTTAGACACTCACATTGAAATTAAAGCTTTAAGATTCAAATCTTATGTGATGTCCCTGAAGGTTGGTTTTAACAACAAAATATAGCTATCTTGCTTAAAATCAAGACGAACAATTCAGGAAACTTTACCATTATGGAGATTTAAAAAATATCAGAGTAGATTATTAGTGAGCATATAGACAGAAGTAGCGGTAGCTAACCTTCAATTTAAAAGGAAATAAGTTTCCTATTGAACAGCTCATTCTGTATATTTTATATTCTTTTAGACTGATTTACAATGTAAACCATAACTATGGTAACTAGGTGATCTGTCAAAATAAACACAACAAATAATACAGAGTATCATTTGGCCAAGGAAAAGAATTTCAGAATCCAATTTAATA